CTCAGAAATCGTGAGAAGTTAGAGGAAGCAATAAGTTCTTATTGTTTTCCATAATTTTTTTATAGGACGCAATTGTCACTTCTTGCATTGCTGTAACGTCGCCCATGAATCAACTTGTGAACATTTAAGTGATAGGCTTGAATTAATTAGTTCATTTGTCGTAATTAGTGATTGAAATTTCGATAATATGATTAGCATAATCATGGTTCAAGTTTTTTTTGGAATATCCATGCTTATTTGGTGTGCACATTTCTTCCAAATATAAACATATCTCGTGAAAACCGCTCGAAAACGCCGGTTAACCGCGTTTCTTTCTTGATAACATTGGAAAGTGTTAATAATAATTAAAACTAGATGTTTATTGTCCAAATGGTTAAATGAAAGTGTCAAATGAGACTCGGTGATGATCAACGTCGCTAGCGGATAAATCAATTATTGTTCACATAAACAATTTTATTTAACCATAGATATTTACTATATATATTGATTAAATATTTTTGTTGAACTCTAGGCGATTAATCTTATTCGGTAAAAAACAAACAATGTCGTTTAAAATATGAAAGATAAATAAAAGTTATGAAGAGGAAATTCTTCGAAAATGAGAAATAAATTTATTATTAAAAAGCGTTCTCATAAAGAAAAAATCTAAGAGGTATTCAATATCAAAAAAAGAACAAGTTAGTCATTGCAAGAAATTTTAAATGCACACTATCGAAAAACGAATGAAAATATGGTACAATAGATAAGAAGGATATAGATCAAAAAATTAACAGAAATCATTATGCAAATGAATCAGTTATTCAAATCATTTCAAATCTGTAAATATTTTTTTGTTGAGTAGTTACCAAATCTTTTAAATGGCTTCAATAATTTATTTTATTATCGTTAGGGTTGAATAACTTATAATATAATGAATATAAATAGATTGAATGTTTTTATAAAGAGTGCAGCTGTTTAAGTCATTGAATTATGTTTACCTGTTTTTAATCAGCTGTAAAATCCATTTAAATAGCGCTAGACTTTGAATGGCTAGTTAGGTAAAGAAGTGCAATATGAATTTTATGTTAGAATCGAATTGGTTACTTAAATCATTTAGTAGCTGTATATTTTTTGAAAAAGTATCTCTTTTGAGCAGCTACGATATGATATAAGATATCTTGACTCTTGTCCTCTTTTCCACAGCGACATGATATGTTTATAAAATTTTGAAATTTTTTCGTTCTGTATATTGTCTGTAGTATTCAAGAAGCGAAATGGTTAACGTTATCATAATACATACATATGATTATCATCATCGTTCTGTTATTAACTAGTACATACTACAGTATTACATACAAAAAAACCAACGTTAACATTTCTACTTTTCATTCTCCTTCGTTCATTTATATTCTGATAATATTCTTAATTTACATATGGATACTTTTTTTACAAATGGACAAAAACTTGGTTTTGCTCGTCGAAAATTTGTGAAAGTCAACGATGCAGACGAAAATATTACGTGTAAAGACAATTGTATGTGTACAATACAATAATATTAGGATAATATTTGAGTCCTTGTGTTCTAGTTTGCATTGTAAAAAGAATCCTTTGGTAATTTATCGGAAACAAAAATAAATGAACTATTTTATACTGTTGATGAAGATGACGAGTTTACGTAAGTATTGTTTTTTTATGTACATGTAAATAAATATCGTTTAGGCGCTGGCAAAATATGTTTCGATGCTTTTACAAAAACTGTGAAATACTTATTAGAAGAAATGCAGATGCATTCAGATACAGATGCGGCTATTCCAGTAGGTTTGTCTCATCTCTGCCATATAATCTCAAGGTATCCAGTTACTGTATATAATAGATTTCAAGCCTTTCTTGCGACATATAACTTACAAGGAAAACATATTGGACATTTTCCTCTTCATTTATTTTGATCTCGATCGAAATTTATATAGAAGAAAAAATAAAGAATAAAAAACAGAAAAATTGATATCGTCTCATCCGATGCATATGTACATGTATATATATATATATACATATGTGCGTGTGTGTAACCATTGTACACTTGCACATATTTAAATGGCTGCATAATTGGCTGTAAAGGTATGTCCCATATTTTGACTTTATTGTTCAAAGAAGCAATATTCAAGGAAACTAAAAAACACTTACCTACCTCAAATTTATTGTTCAATATCTGTTAAAAAATTTTCAACTCGATTGAACGTGACATTTCGAAGAAAAGAAGGGATGTCATTTGGACGTATTATGACGAACATTAGTAGACTTACGATAAATACCTATTGTTAGAACTTAATATGTGTTTTATTTCTAGGATGATACACAACTGCATAAAAATGCGTCTAACTATCTTAAAAAATAACTATGATCGCGAAGAAAAATGAACACGTTACAAATAATACGGTTTAAGCACTTAAAGAATAACATAAGCGGAATAAAAACATTTTGATGAATATGGATCATTAGATCACCACTAAATACATGTTTCATAACAAATATAAGATGATCTCGAGTTTGAAAACATCAATAAAGATTTATTAATAATGAATGATGACTAAAAGATATTACTTCAAATATTCATATTTCCGACATTAATGATTCAACTTCATTCCGTGAAAACTGTCACCTTTTTTGAATACTTTTTATGTATAATTATCTCCACGACAAGGAATATGTGCAGATAATATTACCTTTTTTATTTTAAGTATAAGATATTATTTAATCAAAATAAAAAAAATTACTTTTTCAAAATGACTTCGACTTAAAACACTAGAAAGACGCATATGCCATGAGAGAGAAAATTCATGGGAATAGCCAGTGAAGAAAAAGCGTTTAACCCAGTTTCGGCCAGATTGAACTATTAAAAACGATGAAGCTGCCCTAACCATTGTAGAAAACCTCATCTTTTACATGATAGACCATGCTAGGATCAAAACTAAGTATGTAGAGAAGCGTGCTAGACCTCTACAAACTGTGACAGACATATCAACATTTCTATCACAGCCAGTCAGTAGGTTAAAAGAATATCGGGATGCTTGTCATGGTCTTTGGAATAAGCTGAGGGAGAAGAGATAAAATCAATTTTCTCGTCATACACCACAACAATCATTAACGATCATGTTTTACAAAAGAATTATAATAGTGGAACAGGAGCCTTATGTTATTTCGGTAGCGATTCAGAGGTAGATATGGCTAAACGAGCGATTGATTTGACGGTTATTGGATGAGAAAAAGGAAAAATGACTCATGCCGATCTACCGACAGATCCGGTCCGGTCTGATCGATTTAGGCTAGTACTGGTACCAGTAAGGAAAAAACTCTACCGGTTGTCACTCTGAAAATACTTGATATAATAACAGGATATGATAATTAGAAGAAGTTTATTGAATGAAGTTCTTTGTTCATTTGAAAAAGCGCTATTGCTAAGTACATGAAGTGCTAAAAAACAGAAGAATTTAATCACTTTAGTGAGATCTTAGTGAATGTATAATTGTAGGAATTCTTATATGTTATCTTCAATCCATTTTCATATTGAATGTTCTATTTAACATTAATTTGTGATGCCATTAAAAAACTTTTGAATCTAAATTAGATGTTATTCCTTCACTTTCATGAAAACCACTTCATAGCGAGCGCTACTTCACTACGAAACTGGTCAGATTTCTAGAATAGAGACTTTATACAATAAACTCTTTACTAGTGAAAAGAAAACGATGCTTTAACGCCCAACGAGAGTTGGAAAGTAAGAGAATCCATAATTTGAAATGCAAACCTCAAAATCCAGAAAATTCAGGAATTGTTTTTTTAATTCGAAAAGATTTTCCAGGGTCAATTTTAACTACTTGAAGTGAGTTTTTCTCAACCAGATTATCAATAACGTCATTCTTCATCTTCATAAAATATATTTCAATAAGAAAACGAAAATAAATATCAAAACATAATTAACTTAACGAGAAATAACTCATAAAAAAACAATACGTTTCAATATTAATTAACACATTGTTTTTTAATACAATATTTTCCATTAGAATAAATAAGTTTCGACAGTTCTAGTTTCGATAAGAAAAATCATAAGCTTTTGCAAAAGATAAAGACGAGTTTAAACGAATTTTTCATTCAGTTATGATGAATTCTGTTGACACACTATTTCGGTTATTATCATATATATGTTTCATTATCGAAAAATCACTTTGGACATACGCATTACTATATGAAATTGAAAATAAAAATGAGATAAGCTTGTACAGATTAGGCAAAGGCATAGATTTAACAGATAGCATCATTACCAACAAACGATCAGATCTAATTTCTTTGATTACAATATTTTCTTATGTTGAATCATCACCATCACTGTCCTATTCTTCTTCAACTTATTGTTTTAATGCGATTTTGGTTGAAACAGCTGCTGATATATTTGGGTTGAATTTCTTGTTAATATATGATTGAACTTGATCAAAAAGAATAATATTTTTATCTTGTATGGATTTAAATATCGTTTGAATTCTACTGAATTCATTAAATCAATCATCTTGATTTAAATTTTTTCATTTGAAATACAATAATGATGGAGCAACACCTTTAGTTCGATTAATGAATTTCTCATTGATCAGCTGTACTTGACTGTGATGGGGATCATTTTAATTGGCAACTTATACCAGAAAAGGATGAATCTAATATTTGTTGTAATTTGAATTTTAGTTCTGTTATAATTTGATATTAACTAACACCATCTAAATAACGTCTTTGTAACTTTAAATTTGATTTTTGGATAGTGTAGAGAATATTTTCTAAAAGTCTAAGAGTACAATATCGTTCTTCGCATGAAAAGAATTCGTTAAGCTCTTGAAGACAATCATTATCATCACGAGATAAAAAATTATCTTTGACAGAAGTAAAAACTTGTAACAATCTTTCGACCGATGCGTACAGCGTTAACCAACGGAATTTTATATGTTTGACTCATTATCCAAATAACTATTTTCATCTTCAATCTATTCATCAGACACTGTATCATAATGAATAAGACGTATTCCTTTTAATTCATTATCGAAATCGTTGGTTGATATATGCGTTGCTATTGTTATCAAGTTTGTTATACTAGAAATAAAAGAAATATTCTATCTTGAGTTATTTTGTGTTAACAAAAAATGACGTTCATTCACTTTTTTTATTTTGAATTTTCTATAAACACAAACCAGTTGATACTGTTTTGATTGATACTATGTGCATCGCAAGAAACTCTTATACCAAATTTGCAAGATGATGTTGCAAACTTCATGTCACTACTATTATGTGTAGTCATTGAAATAATTTTTTATACAATATTTAATTTTCTAATTTCATTATAGTGCCGACCACGAATTCGTCGAAAAGATATAATGTCAGACACATGTTGATGATGTTCATCAAGATAATGAGCACTAATTACTACAAGATAATTTCAATGAGAACTTACCCAAATATCTGTAGTTTTTCTTTTAATAAAGAACACCGTTCTTGGTATATTTTGTCAAAATGCTTTCGAACAGTTTATCATGAGAGTCCACGATAACCAGGTTTAATTGTCACAAGAAAATGTTGCATAGAGGAAAATCGAAATGTTCCAAAAGATAAACCCTCTTCCACTATGCATTCAACTACAGCTGCATCCAGTTGTTACTTCAAATTGGGTAAAATGATTGATTTTCATGTTTGACATTCTCGTTGTTTTCTTTGAGATGGAAATATATAGTGGTACAAGCCATGCTTGAAACCAAGATGACTCTGTAGATTACCGTCGGAAAGTAGATAATGCTTATATTCATACAGAAGAAGATACAGTAAAACCTCTCTATAGTGAACACCGCCGAGACTATCCAAAATCGTTCAAATTAGCGGGGTGATCATTTAAGAGGGGATTTTATGTAAACATAGACTTTTTTCGAATTTTATAGTATGTATTAGTTCTGTTCTAGTAATCAATTATACTTTATTGAAAATATGTTTGTTTTAATGACTTATAATGTTGAAAAAATTATCTCCTACAATGTGCAGCAGGTTCAATAGGTAAAAATTTGAAATAATCTTAGATAGATCGTTGCTTTGATAAATTGGAATCGAGAAATACATCAATCAATTTTGATTGTAGCTAAAATAATGTACTGATGCAATTCTGGTTGTTGTGCTGCTGATAAAAGACGCAGATGATGAGCTAAATCTAGTGATTCAGATATTTTTAACTCTTTGAGCAACAAACTATTCGTAAACATTATCATTAGTTTCTTGACTTACATCATTTTTTTAAATTTTCGTTTCAACTTTTTATTTCAATTTGTTTGATAATCATTTGTATATTGATATTTTCGTTCCAATATATTGGAGACTGCACCAACAGAGATCTGAACTTTCTCACTAAGCTGTTGATGAGACACACTACGTTCTTTTTCTTGATCAAGCTCATTTCCCTTCTAGACAAAGCTCTTGATGATTTGAGTCACTTAAGAGACAGATGACGTTTTTTATCGATGTTCACATTGTAGGGGAATGATTTACATGGTAGGGACTAAAAAAAGGTGTTCGCATTCAGAGTCGCGCGGGGATCACTTAGGAGGGGATCAAAACCAGCAAAAATCGCTCGGTGGGACCGGAGGGTGTTCAGATTAACAGGTTGATCACTTTCGAGGGGTGTTCACTAACAGAGGTTTTACTGTAAATAGATATTAAATTTAAAAAAAAAATGAAAAAAATCATGATAAAAATCATACAGTTGAATTTTTCTTATAGTATTCCTAAATCATCTTCTTTACTGTTCTTTCAATGAGGCTAGCTCCTTTTTTCTAGAGTATGGAGCATTTGTACAGAAAACGTTTCGAAGCAAAGAATAAGAAAAGAATTTTCTTACATGTAATTATATCGAGCATTTAACTTTTTCACTGTCATTAACCAGTGTAAAATATTCAATTGGTCGTTTTTCTAATTTTTCTTGCTATTTAAATTTTCAACAATAGTTGTATCAGTATTATTACTCGATATACATATTTAATAAATTTTGTTGCTGATCTTCATCGTGTTGAGGTGAACTTAAATTATAAGCATTGCCATCATCGTAGTCCATTGGAGTTTGTGTACCAATATCAATATCAATATCAATATCGATTTCTTTTTTCTTTTTTCTGCAATATGGCGTTAGGTCTGGGTGTGCGCTTCACACCAACATCGACATCTACTCAGACATCCACAAACATACAGACCCACATTCACATCCTTTTTAATATATATACAATAGATAATATCTAATCATGAAGAAAGTATGGGATCTAGATGTACATGTTCGTGTTATTCTGAAGAACTCATACCATTGTATCATTATGGTCTATTTCGAAAGAAATCAAAACTTCTTTTATACAACATATCAATAAATGAAGGAAGGATTATGAACTAGATAGTTAATCAGCTATATGGTGAGCATTGCGATTTAACTTATGCTGTCATCAAGAAACGGCAGATATATTGCGTACACGAATGACGGCAAGTCGATTGTATATTGTGTATACCTTCGGCAAGAATTAAAACTTTCCCCTTGTTTAAAACTGTACACTAATTTAGTTTAAGCTTTTTTGTTAAATAATGGTGAGTCGAAAAGAGTGACCAGCATGGTTTGATTTCAGTTTTCTTCCCAATGCGTAACTTAACATTAATAACCGCGATAAGATTGTTCTAACAAAATATATTAAAGAACAAGTTAATTAGCTTATTGTTATTGGTATATCTCCTTATTCTATGCATGGTATTTTCCTAGTACAACATCTTGTAAGCAAGATCTTAATATCTTGTGACAAGATCTTGACCAAGATACAAAGCACAGAAATGTTAACAGATCTTGATAATTTAGATACAAGACAATAACTTTATCATCTTGCACTAAGCTCTTGACTTGATAGTATCTATTACGGATGATTTTGCTAATACTTGGAGCAAGATTGTCCCGAATCGTTTAAAAAGATATGATCTTCATTCAAGGATGTTGATGAGGACGACGATTTTGAACGGTTTTCGAACTGACCATTGGTCTCTAACTTGACTCCTTGTGTTTGCAGCAGCAATCCGATTTCAGATTCATATTCAGCGTCAAATTTTACTTCGAATTGACTATCTCGGCAGTATTTAGAGCCATCCATAAACGACTTTTAGTGACCATTTTTGAGCATGGATATTTCAGTTAAGATCTTACAGATCTGTAGCTAAATTTTCAAGATCTGTTAACATTTCTGTATCTAAGATCTTGGCCAAGATCTTGGTTACAAGATGTTGCACTAAGGTTGCAATTAACGAAAATATTTCATGCCATAAACTTCTTCTAATTCACATGTCTTGTTGCTATATCAGGTATTTGTTTGCCTGTCGCTCATAGAAAAAAACAATCTTAGTTTTATCTTGATTTTTCAAAAATAAATAATGTAATTGCTTTTATTTCACAAAGTAAATGTAAATTAATATCCATAATTCACACATTCTTGGTGAGTTGAAAACGATTGATGAATTTGATTAAAAATATGATCGTCTAACATCTATTTAGTAATACATTTGAAAATATCTTACTTCTTTAATACTGAATAAATCTCAACCAACCGACTATGTAGCAGTTATTCGGACAATAAGCTTTTTTTGTCCGAGATCTTGACCGGCAAGTTGAGACATTCTATTCTTAATCTAGCATACAGCAACAATGTATTGTTTATCGATATTAAAGTATGATGAATGATGAATTCGATAAGATGATGAATAGCAACCAACATCTTTTAGCATTCAACAATTTCTTATCAACAAGCGTGAATCATGAAATGACTTCTATTTTTTTTCAGATAGTGCGTGACAATATCCAGATTTTATGAGACTTTTTTTGATAGAGGTTGACTCATTCATGTCATCTACTCCATTTGTATCTTTAGAAAAAAAATCAGTGATTATTATGATAGACAAAAGGCTATTCTGTTTTCGATGGATACCAGACTTTCTATAAATAAAATGAAACAAACAGATAGTCAGTTGTACCGATTTAATTCCACATTGACAAGTTACAATTATTAACAACCTTTTCAAATCGCATGACTAGAGCCTGTCCGGTTAACCGCAAATTCAGATCTGTTCAAGTCCCAGACATACTTTCAAAGTAGCAGCCAATGATGGCTTGATTATTATAGGATCATAGTCAAGATTCTTAGAGAAACGTTTTGGGTGTGCTAGTAGCAGAATACAAATGTTCGATGAAAAGTATCTCGAATCTTCGGAGCGACTATCAGATACAGACTAAACAGTTTCATTGGAATTAGAAGTACGGTCCGAGTTCAAATCCAGTTCAAAAATTTTGAATCCGACAAACTCTACACCTGACATATACTGAATGAGCAATGTAAGTATTCTGAAGAACTCAGAGGGTATGTTCGAAATTAAACTGAACTACGTTCCATCTGATTATCTATCTCTGGCTATTACCTACAAAAATAGTGCTGAACTGCATTATTGAAAGAGAAACAAATCCATTATGTTCTTGTATTTTGAAAAATTCTTGAAATTCAGCAACAAAATCGCTTTCGTCCATTCATCTATCATTGTCTATGATCTATTCTAATAATAATAGCTAGTATATTAAACGGTTCTGATCGACATAAACATGCGATAGGTCATGCCCAAACCAAGCGACTTATCCTAAAATAACTGATTGCTATGGTTTATTTTAATGATACTAAGAGTCAGAAGTAAAAAAAATATTGAAAATATTTTGTTGGATTCATTTTCTATAATTATTGTTTTCTAAATAAAATTTTCTTGATCTTGTTTTATACTTCTCTTTACTTGCATGTACTATTAATTTTTACTATATCTTATGGCGAATATTTCATTTTATAGTCTTTATTCTTATTATAATTTTTTCAATTAAAAAATATAACCTTCTATTCGACAACACTATGATTTGACTTATTCGAATAGATAAATCATGGTCCGAATAAATAAATTCATTTTTCTAATTCTAATATGTAGTCTATAATATATATATATCAAAACCATAAATACAAAAACTTTGATGTTGTTTTCCTCCTAGAATAAACAAATCCAAAAACATGCTATTAAGCAAGGACTTTATTAAAACTCATAATTAGTTTGAAATTTATTTGATTAATTCGTTTTTCTCTGACGAAACAAACAATTATAAACACTGTATCGCATTCATATAAGAGAACAAAAAAAAGCAGTACAATATTTTTATATTTTGTAAAAGTTCGATCAAAATTTTAATGATGCCACTGATGTTTGCAGATTTATCAACGAATATGTGACTAGATGCGAACAGAAAAAAAAGAAAACAACGACGATAAAATGCATGGAAAAAATAGAGCACCATCATTATACACATAGATATTCTATATACAAGTGTTTATCCAAAGGATTTATATCTATATATGTATAATGAACATTCTCTGCAGTCATTTTCTAGATTGGCATTCGTTAACGAATTTTTTTGTTGTGATAAGATTATTGAGTATTACACTGTTTCGTTGAGCTAAAAGAAAACAAAATCAAAAATTAATTCAATTGATAAGAAATTTATATATAAACATAAGAAGCATTAGTAGTTAAAGTAAATCTATTAATTGCCTATATATAGCCTATCTTTATACGGAATCATGATCAGCAAATAATTGACGAGAAGTTGATATTGACTTCTTATACTATTTAAAACTTCAATAAAAATGTAAAAAAATTCTTGTCTATTGAAGTACCTTTGTTGATGACGAATGGCCATTGGTATATCCATTTGTTTTATCAGAATGATGGTCACCATTCATCATCGGTGTTGTTTGATGATCACTATTGAAAAAGAGAAAAACAAAAAATGCATAAATATCCATTTTTTTAAAATCTGTATCGTACATAAACGAACAAAATGAAAATTAAAAGTTACTGTTGTATATAAAGAAATTTTTTTTTCGAAACACAAATTTATTTTAAAATATTGAGGAGAGAGAAAATATCTGACATATTGAATATTTTCTGCCTAGTACACACAGTGAATGAGTTTCGTATAGCAGATGGACATGTAATTTTCATAAATGAAAAAATGTATCTATTGCTCAAAAATGGTTTTACATCATTCAGAAAATTACGTTCAAAAAAACGAAGTATGCCTGAAAAAAAACAAATTTTCTATGTTCAATGTCTCTCTCTGATGGACCTGTACTCACTTTTGTCGACAAGATCCTTTTATGAAAAAACATATTGTATCCTACACCTTGCAATAGAATTTCACGCACTCATTATGAATATCATTTTCATTTAATCTACAATATTATTTTAATAGCAAGAAAGGAAGATAGGATAAGAAAAACGTTTTTTTCTTTGAATACTTTTCACTCATGTCAGTTCGTATTGTATTTAGGGCTCGACGGGTTGATTCCAAACCTAATCCAACAGATCATACGCTAAAATAACAGCCTATTATGACTTGATTGTTATAAGATCATAGCTAAGACGGTCGAAGAAATTAATTTCGCAAAATATGATACTAACCTAGTTTTTCTAAAGTTCTCTTTCATAGAGTGGAAAAAAAATTTTTTTCGTTATATATGATTCAATGAGTGGATTCCAAAAAACATCTTAGTTTTGTATCAAAATGTGTCCATAGTATGCAAAATTAATAGTTTTCTAACAAAAGCCTAATCATTAGGAAATTCCAAATTCGGTCTCTATTCAGTACTATGACGAAGGATAGATCACATATGCAAGAAAAATCAAGAAAATCTAAATTCGACCGAATTAGAAGTCTTTTTTAATGTTCACAAGATCCTATATAATCGACTTTCAGTCTAGTGATCATTTTTTCCCCACACAATGAGTCTTATAGGTCAATTATCCGTTTCAAACAGTTATTTATTGTAATATATTTCGATAAGTTAAAGAAATAATTTTCATATGCAAACTTTCAATGATAAATTTTCGCAAGGTTCGATTTAACTCTTGAAATTTTTATTTTCAAGTAAACTAGATTAACCATAGATATAAATATATATGCATAGTTTCTACTATCTGAATGTTGGCAAAAATAATTTGCTGTCATATTCGCCTAATAATTCACTGTATCGTGTTTAAACATATTTTAAGGCAAAAAGAATCTTAAATAACTTACGAATTCGTTGTTTCATGTTTACCATCAAGTCGAAAAACACGTAATAGAACACATATAGTAATAACAACAACAGCTGAAAAAATAATGGCTATTATGATACCAAGAACAATCCATTTGTTTGGTTGAGCTTTTCGATCATCTGTTATTAATGGATTTTTTCGTACTGTATTATATTCTAAAGCAAATAAATTTGTTATTTATTAAATATACTTTATTATATAAGTTTTAAATTCAAATATAAATTTTGTTTTTCTTCTTAAGCTACGAAATCTTGTTATAAGAAAATACGTTTCGATTTTGTAGTTATCAGTAAATCGAATAGTAAATGTTGTGAACGATTCGTCTTTTACTATGAATAGAGTAAGAAAAAGTAATTGTTGTATTCTAATTGTTTACAGGTATTTCTTAATTCATTTCTATGAAAAGGGCTCAATTGTTATAGAATAATCAGATGAACAACTACTTAGAAATCTCATCAGATAATTCTGATTCTGTTCAACACTGGTATTCTTTTAATAATTGTATGGTTGTTCTGTGGCAGAACTTAGTTTACAAGTTCGAATGATCAAAATCTTTCTCTCTTCAAATATGTACTAATATTTCGTTGTTTAAATATTTTCTATTGTCTTACATGAATGTCTTGTCTGTAAACAACATAGAAGTAAACTATTCTTTAAGAGTATAATTTTTTTTTTCTTACCATTAGTTTCTTCATTCGTTTTTATACGTAACTTTTGTTCAGCTACACCAACTTCATTATATAATTTAATTATAACAATATAATGTGTATCTGGTTTTAATCCAGTTAATTCATATTCAGTTATTGATGAATCAATTGATATTGGTGTACTTAATGGTCCTTCAATATCTAGACCATCATCATATTTTGCCTAAAAAAGAAACGATAGATAATATATATTTGAATAAGTTATATATTAATGGCTCAATCAAAAAAAAGTTATAAGGAGAAATTACTAGAACCGATTGGATTGAATCCGACAGGCTCTAGAGCTCAGTCCTCTTGACCATGTCCGTAGATGAAGTGAAGGCCCTCTCATAATGCTTCTTTAAGCGAAACTCAAAC